GTCAAGGACTTTGCTACCATTGCAAGCCCCCTGCACTGGCTCACACAGGAGGGCCGGGAGTTCCACTGGAGTGAGGACTGCGCTGTGGCGTTTGATTGGCTCGGATCTGCACTGGTTGAGGTACCGGTGCTAGCCTACCCAGACCTGCAGCTTCCTTTTGTCGTGGACACCGATGCCAGCAACATGGGTGTGGGGGCTGTACTGTCGCTTGGAAGGCCCTGAGGGAGAGCGGGTCATCTCCTACTACAGCCGTTCCCTCAGCAGACCAGAGAGGAACTATTGTGTCACCCGTCGAGAGCTGCTGACCATCATCCTGGGCCTCTGCCATTTCAGACCCTACCTCTACGGGAAGAAGTTCCTCCTGTGCATAGACCATGCGTCCCTCACTTGGCTGCTCAGCTTTAAAGAACCGGAGGGAGGTATTATGAAATACAATGAAACATTACGTTTTTGTCGATACCACCCTGAATTTTACTTGGTATCGGATCGGAAAGGAAATCAGTGGTATCGCACATCACTAATAAACGGCAGACAGAAATGAGGCAGGTCGAATCTTCTTGCTTTTCACGCATGCGCAGTACTGGAATGTGGACGCACAACTCCGCGAAAACGACTGAAAACGCTAGTATGGACGCCGAGCATTTTCAAATCTATCCGGGCTTGTGTGGACGTGGCCTTAGAGCTACCCCCCACCTGGGATAGGGTGCGCAGCTGCTGATGAAGGTTAAGGTGTTAGGAAATACCACCATTAAAGGGGTGGGGGATGTGACAAGGTAGAATATTTGGGTTAATGTGCTTTGCCTGTTTATTTTGTGCTTGTAGCGTTTTAGCTTTTTTTTTCCTGCTTGTTGTTGGTTATATTTGTTTTTAGATGTCTTGATTTTAATTGATATATGTGTAGTTTTAATAACCTGCCAGATTGAATGACTGTAAAATTGACCTAAATGAAGAGCGTGAGAGAAAGCTGCCAAAGATTTCAGCCTGGGGCAGGTCACTGAGGAACATTTAGTAGCTGCAATATGGAGATATAGGTGGGAGATCTGATCAATACCCAGAGATATTATAAGTAGCCTAAAGCAGAGGAACATGGGGAATGCCAGCGTAAGATGCCAAAGTAGAAGATGTGCTGCCACAAACACCTTGTCATTACTAACCGACCATAACGAGACCCAAAGCTAGTTGCTATGGTCAAATCTGGAGGAGCCAAAGGGCAGAGTCCAGAGCTTCGCACACCTCTGTTAGTAACCTGTTTCAACTCTTTGTGAAGCAGCTGGACTAGTGTCGGGATAGCAGGAGTTCCAGAGGGGCATTTGGGATTAGAAGGAGCTGTGTCGGTGTCAGAGTTGTTTGCAGCAGCTCTGTTTTAGCAACAGCACTGCCCAGTGTTGTAGTATCAGGAGGGAGGTCCGGTGTTGAGGGAGGAGGTGTGTTTGCTGTCTGTGGCAGGCTGTTTGATATGGGGATGGGAAAGGATCATGCTTTGATCTGAAATCTTGGACAGAGTAACACAGACTGGACTATGCTGTAACAGCTTGTTTGTCAGGCTGGTGTAGCTTATTTTATTTCATTTGTTTTAATGTACCGGTGTACAATATCTTATGAATAAAGTTTTTTTTGACAAGTTAAGTTTCTTTTTCTTTAGTATTTTAATGCTCAACTGTTTTACTCTTTTTAGTCACTTTAATTGACTTTTATCGAGTCAGGTTACCTTCTATTTACAGATTGTTTTCCTTTTATTATTGAAAGGGAAATTAAAATGTGTTTTTTTTTCCAAACACATCCTTGCTCTAGTCTATTTCCTTGGGCTAGGTTGCATTGCCTTCCCTTGTGGAATCAAAACAAAAACTAATAACAAGATTTCCCCGGCTCTTTAAAACCTAGGTGGCATTGTCATTAATAAAGCAAGTGGAAAGTTATCACTTAGCCTTGGCCCCACAGAGCAAAAGAGCAGAAACTTCACCACAGATACAGAATTTTCAAGATCAAGAAAACATGATTCCAGTCAGCAAAAGCACTGTAATGGCCCTCAAGTAGTATTAATGAAGTTATAAGTTAAATTAGAAGTCTCTAAACATAGAGGCGTATAGATGACTAGAGATTTCAGAGGAGCTGCAACATGTCAGTGGGAATATTCAAGTCTGGAGCTGTTTGCCTTTTCCTGGAGTTGGACACCTGCACCAAATGGATTCCTCTCTTGCCAGAGACAAGTGCTCTTTCATTTCTGTAGAGACAGGCGACACCATCTGCATCTTTGCAAAGAAAATTTCATAGTGCAGAAAAAAGAAAGAATCCCAACTGAAACAGAAAATACTTTCCAAGCACCATGTGAAGACCAAAGAAGGTCAAAGAGTACAGACAGTCATGGACTTTATTCTGACTTCAAAAGTATAAACTCCACAGCTTTAATATTAAATACTGTATATACTGTACCCTGTAGGTGTGTATGTGTCTGTTATTTCTCAGTCTCAAAACCCACCTAGAAATGTGTACTATATTAAATGCCTCTTTAAAATGTATGTGTTACGTCTCAATCTCAGAGGACTAATGTCTATATCAGTGCAGTTTTGTGTGTGTTTGATAACAGGTCAAACAATCGAAACCTTTATCTAACAGGGTATACGAGTTCTGTCAGTCATGCCAGTGTATATTCCTCACTGAAGCCGTCACATTTCATCCTGTTTACAGTCCACTCACTCCCCACAGCCAGATATCAGGATTCCAAGGCAAACCACATGCTCCAGCACGAGGCCAACACCAGCTATACTTATTGGGTATTAGATGGCCCTGCAATCTCCGTTTCATGAACAACTGGTCTATAAACACTATTGATTTTCACACTGTGGTTTTTGGCACATGTATCTAGTGGATTGTGGGCGTTCATCACAGCGATGACTAGTAATGAATAATAATGCAGACTTATGAGGAGACAGTCAGAGATGCTTTTGTTTTTTTGTTTCCTCATCTGATTAAAGCAGTGGCTGCAGGTGCTAAATGGTGGGACCCTGAGATCATGAGGTGGAGTAGCTACAAAGCTACTTCAGCTATGTGAAACTACATAACAATGATAGACATGGAGGAAATAAATAATGCAACATATGATAAAAAAAATATCCTAAACTCATCCTAAACTGTAATTTCAATACAATATGAAAAGCAATACATCTTAACCTCCTCTGATAACAACAATCCAATTAGAACGGGCATTTCTGCAAAATGCTTCAATTTGTTACAGATCAAAGAAGTTTAGCGTAATATGAAACTTTAAATCTTAATTCTGAAGATAATTTTATCTGGCCCAAACAATGATATGGACTAACCACACTACTGTTCTCTCCCTAAACCACTGTGCTGTCAGTAATTTGGCTAACTGTGGCCCAGTATAGTAGATGAGAAGGTAACTGCGTTTTTCATTTGTGTTTTTCAGTTTTAGGCACTGCCTTGCTTGGGTCACATTAAATCCTTACTCGTACGGGAAAGTCTCAAGAGAGTACCGGGTCACGTGGGCTAAACAAACACTTCAAGATTTCATTCCCAATAAAGCAAGCCCTGTAAAAGTTACTAGTACAAGCCAGGTTTTATTGTAATCTGTTTGGAGCCGTGTTAAGTTTCTCTCCAGGAATAAATCCCTACTCTGTGAGTAATTTATCACGTTCTCAGCTGTGTAAACACCACACAGCGGTTCACTTAGAAACTCACCAGGATGCGCAGCAGCGATGTACCAGGTGGTGTGTTTTCAGGGAGGCTGATGTTGTAGAGGGGTCTGCTGAAGATGGGGCGGTTATCATTCTCATTGATTAGTTCAATAAAGACGCGAGCAAATCCCACATGATCCGAAATGGATTCATTTGCATAAAGCTGAGAGAGAGAGAGCAAGAAACAGAAGCAATGAATACGCACAGACACACATGAATGTTTCCTCAGATATAAAGAATGATTAAAGGAAAAAACAACAGATTATTATGCATGGAGGCTGTTGGTTGCATTCTAAAAAGTGTAATCTGAATTTGCTACTGAAAGAATTTATTTAAGATTTACAGTGTGCTACTCTGATTCTATAAACAACTTGGGGTTAAACTGAGGTGACAAAATAGCAATTTCACTGTTCAAACAACTCGGTGCTGTTTAGAAAGAGATATTGCTCCAGTCTAACTGTGCCTTGTGTCCAAACAAATCAAAACACTTTTCAAGAAACATAATAAAGTTACATTTCTTTTTCACAGCTCTGGCTTGGTCCACAGTTCATTTCCATTGATTATAACTCTTTAAGCTACTTTAGGCTTTTTAATAGATATTATCAAAAAAACCAACAGTTATGCTTTGTTGGGGTGATGCAGGTTTCTCAGGTAAATCTACAGGGCACAACTACTCGAGCTAAGTTGAAAAACTTACTGAAAAACTGAAGCTGCGAATCTGTTCGTAGTCCAGCGGCATGGCAACCCTCATCCTGATGTCGGCACGCCCTTGCACCGCTGTGGGGGAGATGGTGAAGTATTCTGAATTGTTTCCTGTCAGAAACACTTGGAACATGCTGTTCACCCCCTGCCATAGGAAGGATAAGAGAGAGGATAGAATAACAGCAAGAAAATTGTGTTTTTAAAAGATGGAGCACAGTCAGGTGGCAATATATACCGAGTCTAACCTACGAGTGAGAAATGTGCAGTATATGATACATGGTACTGTATATTTAGCAAGTCAAAAGAAATCACATTTAATTATAGGGGAAAAAAACATGTCTATCTATCTAGACAGGATAGATACATATTTTTAACAACAGTGTAATAACTGTATGATATTCATGTGTTTTCATTTAAATATTTCTCTGTCTTTGCTGATAAAATGATAAAATTGCAGCTATACTAAAGATTAATGTATCACTGATGACAGGACACGAGATACTTGTAATTTATACCTGTACAAATACATGAATGATGTGGAAGGGTTATTCTCTTTTTCTGACAACGCTGTATTTTATTCTGTTGTATATAGTATCTTATTCTTCTTATCTTATCCTATTCCAGTGTTTTTTTAAATTTTTGCTTCTGTAACTTTGCACTGTCCACTTTCTGCTGTAACACAACAAATTTCCCATGGGTGGGACTAATAAAGGTTTTCTTATCTTATCTTATTTTATTTTATTTTATTCCAAACATTTCTTTTAATATGTCACACGTGTGTGTTTGTATTTTAAAATAATCAATTATTTTTTTTGAGTTTTATATTTTCTAATTAGTTTTTTTCCAGTTATTATGATCATATATCATATATAAATCTACATAGCCAAATACAAATACAGCCTCAACAGGGTCACTGTGATATGAACATTAATAAAGACTAAAATTAAGGATATTTCTGGTATTTTATTAGTTAGTTTTCTGAGCACACAATATTATTTCAGTTAGTTCATTTATTTTCTTGAAAGTCTCTCCCCCCCCCCCCCCACACAGACACACACACACACACACACCTAGTTTTAATTTTGAGTTGTGTTTAATTAACAATAATAACTGATAGGATCAGCATGTAGGCAGCAGCTTTTTTATTGTCAGTCTTGAGCAGGATGTTTCTTTTCTGAGAACAACTGTGAAATATGTTGAACGCTCATAATGAATGAAGTTATAAAAAGGCACACCAAACAATGCACCAGTGAAGAAAATGTTAAATTGAGACGGAACAAGCCGACTCGAAAATTCCTTCAGGATGCATTTGGCGTGGAGGAGTGCACTTTGTACAAAAAGAACAAAGTGACAAGCCAGAATATTAATAACAGTAACACTGAAAGGTCCAACTGTGATCAGACATAAGAATCAAATCACAGCCCATACCACAGATTCATCGCTTCTCCGTCTGTAAAACTTGGGTCACAGTTTAAGTGATACACAGAATTTATTCCCCATTTATTTCCCACAGAGCTCTAAGAGTAAGTCAGACTGCATTAATACCTAGCCAGAGAAGAAAACCATATGCTTTGCGCACATTGTGTGTTTTATGAGAGAGGAAAAGGGGTTGACGTGATCCCTGGTGACAACCATGACTATCTACCTCAATCCAGCTACATTCGTTTGTGTTTGCTTTCTAGCTCACTGCAGCGTAAGTTGCCAGCACAATGTTTATGATTATGTCGATTATGTGAACATGAAGACTGATTTAGAAATACTATGTTTTGTGTCATTGCGGTTGTGTGTAATGAAAAAGTATGAATATGAAATTTGGAATAATGGAGGGAAAAAAAACCCCAACTCATCTTTTCCTTCTTTACTTCTTTTTCCTCGGATAAATCCCCACGTGCAGATGCATTATGGGTAAATATAAAACAGTGACATCACATCTCTGAAATACCTGTGGCTTTCTTGAGCGGGAGAAAAAACCTCATCTCTAGGTCCTTCCTGTCTTGATGTATAAAGCTTCAGGGCAGCCAATCATGTAGCCATTGTGGCAGACAGAGGAAGACGGGTGGCGTGGTCAATTGGCATTATGCTGCCAGTTGAAATAGCCCCCTTGTTTTTGTTTTCGTCTGTGGGAGAACCATTGTGGCTGATGACTCCTATTTAAAAGACCATCCAATATGCAGGGATGTCACCTCAAACTGCCCATAAACGTAATTGCCCGTCCATTTGCTTCTGCCTTTAGAAGCCCCCAATAAAAGCATCCTGTCAGATGCAACTGCCACAAAGTTTAGTGACAAGCTCCAGCAGCAAAAAGTTTTTAAAGATGCTAGCCAAGTAGAAGAGGATATGAAGGCAGCGACAGGCAGAGAGGTAACTACCACTTGTGTCATAGTCTAAGAAAAGAAATGTCTGCCTATAATCCCTTACACATGGAAGGAGTGAGATTACAGAGCAGGTGTAGTGGAGTGTGAATGAGTTTGTGTGTATCGGCAATGACATGCAGGTTTAAAAGATCAAAAAAGCAATAAAAAACTGCAAGACAAAAAACACCTCGTGGGCTTTACTCCTTGCAATTGATGTACTCGTGGCTCTATCACAGCAGAGTAACAATGCAAGACTGGTAGAGTTTAAAATGCCCCGGAATACGTTTTCTGCATTTTCTCTTTATATTTTTTCCATGTGACACTTTGCTTTTTAAGCTCTTTTTGATGTCTTTTGTTTTGTTGCATGATGATGACTTAACAGTGAGCCGGGGCTGCTAATGCGCCGATTCTGATAAGTGCTTTCGAATGCAGCATCTACGGCGAATCTAGTAAATTAAAACCGTCTCGGAGCCATTCCCCCATTTGCAATAAGCAGTCTTAGCCCAGATATGTTAGGTGTCTGGAAGCCTCCCCTGAGCGAACGCTGATATTGGTGGTGGTAAAATGTTGGTTGCTAACCTACAGAGAGACCTCTTATCACATGCCAGGTGTCTGGGTCGTCACCCCACCTGCGTGCAGCAACACGCTTGCAGTGCTCTCTTCTCTGCTTGCTGCTGGAACACAGGCAGAAGCAAACACGCCATCCTTAGAATGGATAAACAGACCTGCTGCTAAATATTCCTGCTATCTCTCCTTTCAAGTGCTGTATTCCTCTCCTGACTGTTTTCTTCCTGCTCCACCAATTACTACGACTTATGATTTTGCTCCTCTCCTCTCCTCTCCCCTCCGCAAGTCTGTTTCTCTTTATTCTCTACCTTCTTTTCTATCCACTTGACTCACGGTTATCTGTCAAATTCCACCCTGGCGGCTGCTGCGCCTGAATCAATCAGAGTTGACTAGCTTTCGGCTTATCTGCACCCTAGGTGATTGATTTTCCTCGTTAGGTATAATTTGATGCTCTATCCCATCTCTTCCAGAGCAAATTAAATTGTAGTCGAGTCCAATGCGCTGGTGTGAGAGAGCGTGTGCATATGTGAGCGAGGGAGAGAGAAAACGAGTGAGACAGAGCAAGCCTAAAATGTTTGACTTCTGTGTATGTTTTGGTGTCTGAGTGTATGTGACTGCGTGTCACCACAGTAGGCTGATAGATACAGTAAATGGGAAGTGGCGGGCAAACCAAAGGAGGCTGTAGTACACTCCTGCTGACAATCCACACACACACACACACACACACACACACACACACACACACACACACAGAGGCACACAGACACAC